CAGCAGATCAGCTGGAACCTCAATGAGGAGCACAGAATAAGTTAGATGAACTTTGTCCAGATGTATGCCAAAGCATCATTTTATGAAATCATGGCACAGCTACAGAAAAGATTCTTTAGCTATGTCAAGGACACCAGCGCACTGCAGTCTCAAATGGCTCGAGTGACCTTGCTGTTTGGGAAACCAGCACATGAAGGTTTGCCCGGTTGCTTGGTTGTTCACAGTGGTGAGGCCCCGGCAATCACAAAGGAGCTCTGTGGTGTACTGAATGATTATGTTGATGACTTAAGATCACACAGCATCACAAAAATAGAGGGACACACCAGACTGTTAGTTAGTCCATCAGAGCACATCATGTGTGATGAAATAAGGAGCAGAGTGTGTCGCTTTTTGTGTGGGTTTTTACTCCGGGTGTTCAGGTTTTCTCCCACTTTAAAATGTCTGAACAGGGAATAAATCTTCACTGTAAATTAACTGATTGATAAATAACTGTTGAAAATGTCAAAAATAAAATACTAATTAAATTTCTGCTCATCTCTCATTTTCATTCATACATGTAAATATGAAACTACTAATTTATTTGAGCACCAGCAATGGTGTTAAAGTTCTAGTCATTTAATGGTGCACTGTGAAATATCTGACTGTAAATTCACAATAAATTACTGACTAACAGTTTCATTACTTTCACAGTAAATTAAGCTGACGATTATTGTAATTCTAGTCATATGCTGCTGTAGAATTTCTGTACCTAACTGACTTTTCACCACTGTATCTGTTAAACCAGTAATGAAACTATAGCATAAAAAGGTTAAATTAAAAAATACATCAAATAATCCAGGTATCAAAATGTTCAGCTCTTCAATGACATTCATGCTTCTATTCAAAATTTTTCTAAACTTCATACTTTTGAAATATTTAGCTTTATTCTGAAAATCTTGCCCCATTCAAATGAATGGTAAAATTCTACTTCAGCATAATTTCAGCTATTAAAATGTTCAGCTCTTGAAGGAGATTGATGCTTCTATTCAGCATTTTTGTAAACTTCATACTTTTGAAATATTTAGCTTTACTTTGAAAATCTTGCCCCATTCAAATGAAAGGAAAATGTCTACTTCAGCATAATTTCAGCTATCAAAACCATTCAGGTGTCAAAATGTTCAGAATTTTCAGGGCAATCTTTCAGCACTCAGCATCCATACGCATTTTCTTCAGAAAATGCATTTCTCTATTTTTATTAATGTGGTTTTAGTTTGGGAGTAATTTGAGCTTTATGTAACATTAGCAGTAACCAGAGCGCGTTCTGCTGAATTGATAATTTACTCATTAGTCAGCTAATGTTAGCTTTGAGCTGGAGGCTGTCTTTTGTAGAGTTTGTCACAATCAGGCATCCATAGTTTACATCACCACTAAGAAACAGGGCATGGTGGGTGGGGAAAAGGCAGTTAGTAGTGGCCTATGGTGTCAGTTTGGTGCTACTGGGCTCTGTGGCAGCTGAAAAGACATTAGGTAGAGTAGCTTTAAGTAATGCTTAATAAATGCATAGTTCATTCTGATTGGATGTGTGAATCATTACAGGATGTATCATGATTCCTTTGGTTAATTTTTAAGAGCTGACATGATTATCTGTAGAGTGAATGAATAATTCTTCTGAATTGAAATTTTCTTAACTACAAACTAGTCAGTGCTTCCATCTTAACAGTGAGATATTCACATTTGCCTGCAAGTATTCAGATTTTTAGTTTATTCTTATGTGGGTTCTGAAGAACAGATGATCCAGTCCCCACTGAACACTGACCCCTCCTCCTCTACACACTTATAGTATATACTAGATGCACATGAACACCCATAGACAAGATTCAAATGCACATTAATACAATATGCACTTCATAAACATCAAGCAGATTAAATGGTCCCTATGGTAATAGCTTTGCAGTATGTTTTTCTTAGGGCTAGGGGCAAATGTGTGGCAACACTGAAGGTACATGTAAAGGATTTTCTGCATTGTTACCAATATGCTGACAAGTAGGCTACACAGCTTTCTTTATTTATGTGTAAGCTGCAGGCAAGCAGAGGGATGAGCCTGTCAGTTCTCCCAGACATCTTTTTATCCAGGCATTGCCATGCTCTTATGCTCAGGGCAATGTGTGGAGAGAGCCTTTAATCTGCTGTGGTAGGAAGACAGCTTTGCAGAGAGATAAGCGCTCTTTTTCTCTGGCTGTGGGCTTATTCACAGGGTTCAGGTGTGAATCATTTGGTGTGATCTGCAAGTGCATCTAATCTGTAAGAAATGTTATGAGATATCTACTAATTTAGTTTTGCCGCCACCATATAGGTGTAGATTTTCTGCTAATTGTATATATATTTTTTTACATATTTAAATGCATATTATTGTCATTATTCCTTAAATAAGTGCTAAGTGTCACTAGCTTTGAACACTTTCTTTTTCTTATTGCGTCCCATACAGTGGCACTAATGAGCAGCCTCCATCAAAGGCTGTGGAAAGGGCAGCACTTACCCCACCCTTAAATGGCCACTGTCTCAAGAAAGGAGAGAGAAGTTTGCCTGCACGACAGTCTTGATCTGAATGGAAACATCCACACAACCAGTTCCGCTGCTGTGAATTCTTGGGACAAAACTGAGGGCCAGTCCTGCCATGGAGACAGTGAGATTGCACTTGAAGATTCTGAATTAAGATCAGAGCAGAGTCCACAGTATTTCAGTCAAGGTAAGGGACAGACCTGGATGTTTCTATTGATCGTGGTCAGGGGGAAATACATCTCTAAGACAGGGTTTTGATAACTAATTCAATTTTTGATTCAGTTCCAAGTTTATAAAATAAACTGATTTATTAACGTCAGATTCTAATGAATAACATGTCATTAATTAATCATTTTATGTTTTTTTAATTTTAATATTTTTCCATCAAAGTGTAGCTGCAGTTTAGAGTAGGTAGCCGTTTACTATAGCTAGAGACTAAATCTTTCATCTCTATGGCAAAACTTTACATTTTGAAAGTTAATATTTCAGAATAAAAATTCAAAGTTGATGGCTCTTACAAAATACAGTATGTGAGATAAAAAGATAGCACTAGAGCAAGTAAAGCTTGAATTGACTTTTAGCTCATATGGTAAACAGTGGATGCATTGTGCACTGATGACAGTTAGCAACAAATACCCCCAGCACTACCCGTGGATCTCTTTTTGGTTGTATCGCAAATCCAGTTTGTCTTTTTACTCTACATGTGATTCAGTCCCCCTCTCTCTTCTTGCTGACTGGGCGACTGTGGTTTGGTGATTAGAGCAGTCGTCTCCCAACCGGAGGGTTGGAGGTTCAAATCACAGTGCCTGCAGTCCACATGCCCGAAGTGTCCCTGGGCAAGACACTGAACCCCCAGGTTGCCCCCGATGGTTAGAGCCATCAGTTCAGTTGGCGCCGCAGATGGCTGCCTCGGTTCTGTACTGGAAACAAATTCCTTGTGTGTAACATACTTGGCCAAATAAAGGTGATTATCCACCGTCCCTGCTTTCTGGTCAAGGTGTGAGGTGCTGACAGTTCAGAAGCAGGGGTCATGGAGGGAGAAGATCATTCAATGGGGTACATCAATCGAAGCCCCTCTGAAGTTGAGTTTCTGTCGGGGAGACAGGAAGGGCTGACAGGAGCCCACAACGAGCAGATGAGCCTCAAGTGCTCTGAGGGCATGGAGAACAGTGACTCTCTGGTGTCAGAGCCACTTCTCTCACCTAGATCCAGAGCAGAGGGGCCGGGCCTCAGCTTCAGGCCGGCATGGGCCTTGGCCTTTTTTGGAGAAGATTGTTTTGATCCAGAGGTCAAACAGTATGTAGTGAATCTGGGACAGCACACAGGATCGCCATGTCTGGATGTGAAAACACAGGTGGGTAAACCTGTGAAGACTACTACCAGTGAGTCATTTGTGACTTTAACTCTGTGTGCGAACAAACAGCAGACTGCATGAAGTGACTGACTTATTTATCAGATTCTTTTGTGATGAAACATATACAGTATCATTTTTTTATTTAACACATATTGCAGTAATAGGTAGAGAGTTGTGTATATTATCTGTAAATGCTGATATTCTTACTTTGTTCATAAACTTTAGATTGAAAATCCTGTGCTGGGAGTAAGTCAGTGTTTTAATTTCCATTCTTTATGCATTTTATCCATGTATTATAATATATCTAAGTGCTTATTGAATGCAGTTTAACTTCCTAGTTTTATTCATCCCTCACCAGGTCTAGTTTTATGAATAATTGCAGGAAATATTTTCCTATCTGTAATGAAGTGGGGCCCGGTCAAGCTTTGGGGTAAATAGGATGAGAACATGTGGAGGACTTGAAGATAATTGGCGTTTTATTCTCTCCAAACTGGAATTGAATGTTAATGTTGAACTTAGCCCTTGGCAGAGGAAGTTATTGTCATCTGCAGAAGAATATTAATGAGTAGTCTTTGTGTTTGCACACTTTGATGGCACCACTGCTCCTCCAGAAGGTTTGTGTAACAGCTGACAACACACCTTAAGAGCTTTGTTGCTCTGACTTCTCACTCATTTCAATTCAAAAGCGCTACTATGTTCTGTTGCCATGGTGAAGAGGGAAAAAAATTGGTGCCCCATACACAGTGGAAACACCCGAAGGCTTCTTTCAGCGAAAGGCATGCGCTGTTATTTTAGGGCCTTTGTGCGATTCTGGATGATTTCCTTTGAACAGGAACTGCAACAGCAGCTAATGACTGAAACAAGGAATCTAAAGAAAATGAGAAATTTCTACCAGAAGCTGATTCAACAAGAGAGAAAAAATAAAGGTTGGATGCCCATTTCATAACAATGCTAGAGTACCACTGTGACCTAATAAGCAGTTTATGCACTGTTGTCTTAAAGGTTCAGAGAGCAAACTGACGCTGTCCAAACTCAAGTTACAGCTTGAGGAACTCAGAGCCAAAGTGATCTTCTTGAATTGTGTGAAGAAATACCTAGAGGTAGTAACACAAAGTACTACAGCTCCCCATGCTGCCATTTCTCATGCATCCCCCAACAATCTCTCTCCTCTAACTTTTTATATAACTTGTTAACTATTTGTATTTCTGCAGATTTTGAATGTTGACCAGTGGGGTTTGGAAGTTTCATTATTAGACTCCTTGGCTGCCTGTGGACCTGGCTCTTTGCACCTCCAATCCTCTGAGGACCCTTCTGTTCTGAGCTTTGGTGCTAGCGCTCAGCAGGGTGGATCTCCTCTGGGTCTCATGGCTTATCTCTACGCCAGGTATTATTGATGAGCATTTACATTTGCTATCTATAAGTCAGGAGGTCATATGATAATGTTGATGGCATCAGGTAACCTCTTTGATGGGAGCTGTGTGTTCTATTATTCATCTTCTAATGGGTCCAACCAAGGATTTCACAATAACTCAGGTCAGAAAATTTCTAGATTATGGCAAGAAACCAAGATGTTACTAAAGCAGAGGTTAAGAGTGCAGGTGTTTGGAACAGTTTTCACTGGCATGATAATTCATATTTGGTCTAGTGTGTTTCTGGTCATGCTGTGTGGGCTTGAGTCAAAATAAACTTCATTGTGTGTGCTCATGGTAATGAAGGAACATGTCAGGGCAAAGTGTGGCTTGCCACTATGTTCGGAATAGTTTTTGAACAACACTGAACCTCTATGGTGCCAAGAAATATGATAAATCAAGCTGGTTGTCCAGTGTTGTTTTTGGTCTTTTCATAGGATTTGTGGACTCTGTGTGCCAAATACAGTTTAATTATGTGTATGTGCGTCTCTCTCTCTTTTTCACCACTGACCCCCACACTCTTTTTTGACTAGTTATGTAGTTGGTCACATGCAGTATATTTTGTTTAAATGTCAGTAAAATTAAATGTCACCACCCTAACTTTAACCCTAATCTGTAAACACTGACGTTATTACTGAAGTATATATCTGAAGTCTGACTTTTTGAGCATTGACATTTTTTTAGCCACTTTTAGTTCCCCCTCCTCCAACTGAAACTGGTTTTACAGTACTTTTACTACGTCTCCCACATGATCTGAGAAAAGCTGATTGTCTGTTTCCTCATGTTATTTTATTCCATAATTTGCTGTCGTAGATATGTTTTCACTGAACAATGTTACTAATCTGTTAGTTTATGAACTTTATACAGCACTTCCTTTATACCTATCGTTTCTTCTGTACTCCTGAACAGTTACTACAGTTCATAATTGATAAATTCATCAGTGCTGCAAGGTACAGTGTATCTGTATGCAGAGTATATTTACAATGTAGTCTTATATTGTCCATTAATTGTATAATGTGTGTTTTCTATGCCAGAGAAGGTCCAGACATGTCAGGAAACAGTGAAAAGATCTTCCATCACGGTTTAGACCTGCTCCATTTCTGGATAATATATTGTAAAGCAGTGGATTGGACACCAAAGTCCAGTCTTGTGGCTTCATTAGAAAAATTCCTTAATACTGAGGTACATAAATTTCTACCTGCTGTATTTTATTTCCCTCTGGATTTTTTTGTCTAAAGTTTGAGTTCCTGAAGGATCCACACTTGTCTTGGTGGCTATTGCTGCTCATGCTAACTACCCAGTTCATCTTCTGTTTATTGGAGTGGGAACAGCAGTTTCGGCTGTTGGAAAAATCTGTGTGTCAACTGACTTTACAGTTTAAAAGAGCACGTTGGTCAGCAAAAGTAAAGTTCTCAGTAAACATTTCAACTCAGAACACTAAAGCATTTAATTAGATTATAAAGCATAACAACAATCATTAGTGAAAGTGTGTTGAACTCTAAAATGTAGTTTAAGCTAGTTAAAAGTCGATAGGTTGACCACAGCAGCTTTTTGAACATTTGTTATGCTTGCAAGTATTTCTAACAAATTCACACTGGCTGCATTTTATAGTTGCCTCATTTTATTTTCCACAGGTAATTCCTGTCGACAGCTGGGTGGAGGCCCTTCTGACTGCTCTCCACAGCCCTCCAAGTGCAGCTTGTAGCCAAGGAAGAGGAAGCCTAATCAGCACTGCGGAAGATGATGGCACCATGTGTGTGCACTCATCTACCAAGGAAAAGGTCAGTGTATACTGATGAAAAGTAATGATGTATTTTTTTACATTTAATCTGCTCGAACATGGAAACCATATTTAGTTTTTTTTTAGACAAGATCTGCAGGCTGACTTTGTGATTTTAAGTAAATTGTATTTTAACTATAAATGTCATTAATTCTCCAGTCTTTCTGCTGTTGAACAGGGGCACCCTGCATGAAATGCACAGCACATTTCGCCATTCTTTATTTCTCTGTTCCTGTCATGTTAGTGTTTACATAACACAAAACATGTTTGTGCCCATTTTCAATTACATTTCAAAATTTTTCAGTGGAGGATTTCAGGACTTGGGGAGCCCTGTACATCTGTAGAGTAGTGTACTGAGCGCACAGGCTCTACGCTTTCAGTACACTACCCTACTCACAAGTGTACTTGTCTCTTTCTACCACTAGAGGGAGACATGTCTCCATAAATGTAAGGGCCTGATTAATCAGCTCATGACATATTTTGTGGTGCAGGAAATGTTCCAAGGATGTCATCCAGTTCATTTCCTCAACTCTAGAGTGCAAGGAGTCAAGGACAAAGCCTTGACCCCGAATATAATGTTTTAGCTTTAAATGCTGTCTACAGATGACTGTATTTTTAAGGACACTTGTGCCCCTAAATGAAAAAAAGTTAGAGGCATAACTAAAATTTAGGGGCACAGTTACTTTTTTAAATTAATATCATTAATGCATGTCTTTTATAAACATTTAATATTAAAAATATAGTGTGCATAATGCACAGGGGCAAACTGACTTAAAAGTCATTATTAAAGACCTTTGAAATATAAGACATAGCCTACAGCACTTGGGACATCACAGAGACCAGGGTGCACTGTGCTACATGATTGCATCCATTTGCATCCATCCAAACAGTACAGAGTTTACTAATTAATTTTACAATTTGAAAATAGAGTTGGAGATTGACAACATTTGAATCTAGCATCAAATTAGTGATGGAATGAAATTTAACAATATTATTTTTTTTATATGAAAAAGGCATGATCAGCACTGGCTAAAACTGGATATCTGCTGCCTGAATGTTTTGTGCACTGATTTATTAAATATTATTTTCAAATGAACACATTTATACTTATATTTTAAATATGAACACTTTTGACTCAGACTGGCACGAGAACCCATCTGGTGACACACCATCACTTACAGCCAGTGTCAAATGTTACAAGAATCATGTAGTAAACAGGTATTAAATTAACCATGATGATGATTTCTAGAAGAATACATGACATAGAAATACCTGAACATACATTATATTTACCTGTATATATTTTTTTTCATTATATAATCTAATTGTTATTTGTCCAATTTGGTAACGGCTTCTATGATTACTGGAGTAGAACAACTTTATCAGAAACATCTTTTCATGACCGTCACCACAAAGTAGCTCCAGCCTCACAAATGACCCTAAAACTGAGTGGACACACTAGCAAGTATCAACAAAAACTCAATACTTATGAGTAAGATATTTGCTGTTTACTGTTGTTCAGTTTGCTTTGTATTATTCTGTATTTTTATGTTTTACTTTACTCTCTCTGTTATACAGGTGCAGCTCAATAAATTAAAATATCGTGGAAAAGTCCATTTATTTCGGTAATTCAACTCAAATAGTGAAACTCGTGTATTATATACATTCAGTACACACAGAATGAAGTAGTTTAAGCGTTGGGTCTTTTAATTGTGATGATTTTGCTCACATGTAACAAAAACCCACCACCCAGTTCATTCCAGTTTCCTCCATGGTTTTCTTTAGTTTTGCTTTAAGAATGCCATTGTCTTTCCACTAACCCTGCAGATTGTGGTTTGACAGTGGCCTTCAGCTCATCTGCATTTTTTGGTCTCTCATTTTTCTCTTGACAATACCCCATAGATTCTCTACGGGGTTCAGGTCTGGGGAGTTTGCTGGCCAGTCGAGCACACCAACACCATGGTCATTTAACCAACTTTTGGTGCTTTTGGCAGTGTGGGCAGGTGCCAAATCCTGCTGGAAAATGAAATCTTTAAAAAGCTGGTCAGTAGAAGGAAGCATGAAGTTCTCCAATTTTTTGGTAAACGGGTGCAGTGACTGTGGTTTGCAAAAAACACAGTGGACCAACGCCAGCAGATGACATTGCACCACAAATCATCACAGACTGTGGAAACTTAACACTGGACTTCAAACAACTTGGGCTATGAGCTTCTCTACCCTTCCTCCAGACTCTAGGACCTTGGTTTCCAAATGAAATACAAAACTTGCTCTTATCTGAAAAGAAGACTTTGGACCACTGGGCAACAGTCCAGTTCTTCTTCTCCTTAGTCCAGCTAAGACACCTTTGACTCAGGAGTGGCTTAACAAGAGGAATAGGAATGGAATGGAATATGACAACTGTAGCCAAAATTCTTTGGAATTTGTGGGTTTTTGTTAAATGTGAGCAAAATCATCACAATTAAAAGACCCGACGACTTAAACTACTTCATTCTGTGTGTACTGAATGTATATAATACACGCATTTCACTATTTGAGTTGAATTACTGAAATAAATGGACTTTTCCACAATATTCTAATTTATTGAGCTGCACCTGTAGAGTATGAGATTAGAATTCAAACTGGACATTATAGCAGTGAATACAGCACCAGACTGTTTAATTTTAGTTTAATTTTTTCCCCTTCATTTCATCTTTCTGTAATAAAACTGTGAAGTTCTGAGCTCATCACTTTGGGTACTTTAATGAGAGTGTTAGAATTCCTTAGGAAACCAGAGCAGAGAAAAAGCTATACAACATTATCCTACAAATAAACAGACTAGCTACCTTCTATCTCTTATGTTTTAAGATTTGACAGGTGTTTGTGCTGGACATAGTAAACCATATAGGCCTACACTTAGATGCCACATGAACATGTATGATTCATGATCCTCTGCTGACCATTATGGGCAAACATCAACCCAGTATCTAACAGTTAGCTATTAGCCTAAGGAGCTCCATAATTAACACGTAGGCTACCGGCAGTATACTGGAGTCTGTAGGCAAAGCTGAAATGATAGCTGCTCTGTAGGTTTAGGCTCGTTTAGCAGGTGTTTTGATAAATTGCTCTCACTGGCTTTTAAGTCACTGAAGTTTTATTCCAGTCTGTCACAGGGCTACAAATAGATTAACATTAAAAACAGCCTACATATGTATTTTCTATGCCTGTAAAATAAGCAATGCTGAACTGGCCTGTGGTTGAATTTCTCACCCCTGGTGTTTTTGTAATATCTAGTTAAACATGTCTTGTTCTAGTGTTACTATGATTCTCTCACTATATACAGTATGAACATACATGTTTCTGGAAGGACAACATCTAATGACTTTATTTTTTTAATCTGTTCTTCTGGTTTTTATTTTTTTTTTTATCTCATTTTAATGGAGTCATTTACCTGGACATGAAATGTGAGAAATAATGGAAAAAATACCTGGAGCTTAAGGTGATGTCTTTTAATAGTTTTTTTTTTTCCAATCAACGGTTCCAAACCAAAGAGACAGAGAAAAGAAGCATGTCGCATCTGAGAATCTGCAGACATACACTGTTTGGCATTTTGTTTGATAAATGACTAAAACAATGTCAAATTAATTGTCATTTTCTGGCAATTTTTTGGTATATGTAGATGTTCCTACATTTCTGTTTTCTCTGCATTAGGAATGTGTCTCACTGCATCCTGCCAGCAGATGGCAGCAGTCTTCTTGTATGTGAGAGGACGCCATGGACAGCTATCTCCAGTGGCTGCTCGCATATGCTGACAGTGTCACTAACCGGATCTCTGCTGAAATAGTCATCTGTGACTCTGTCAAGGTGAGAGGAAACATAACTCATAAAAGTAACTTGGTCAGTTGAAGAAAAAAATCATCCATTATTGTCACAGGCCGTACTTTTGATTTCTCATCGGGTGCAGACAGTCAGTCACAGATTGCCTCCATATGTGCTTTCTGTTTCTTCTCTGATCTCATGGTTAAATGGGTCATAACATTTAGAAACAAGAACATTTGCATCTGTCCTTCAGCTACATTCTCATACTGCCATATAGACGCTAGGCTCAGTTAGGACATCTGCCACCCATAACATTATGACCACTGACAGGTGAAGTGAATAACACTGATTATCTCATTACACTGGCACCTGTCAGTGTGTGGGGTGTATTAAGCAGCAAGTGAACATTCAGTCCTCGAAGCTGATGTGTTGGAAGCAGGGAAACCAGGCAAGTGTAAGGATCGGAGTGACTTTGACAAGGGCCAAACTGTGATGGCTGACGACTGGGTCAGAACATCTCCCAGACTGCAGGTCTTGGTGGGTGTTGCTGGTCTGTAGTGATTAATACTTACAAACACTGTCTAAGGAAGGACAAACAGTGAACAAGCAACAGGGCCATGGGTGCCCAAGGCTCACTGATGATGAAGTTGACCTAAACTTTTACATTTTTTTCATCCTTTTCAAAAGATTCCATTTTCTTTGAATTTTTATTAAAATGGTTGAAAATAAGAAATACTGTACATTGTTCTCTATGAAGAGAAACATTCAGTGGCTGTAGTGGTGATATCAAACCTAGAGTGCGGAGGCTGTTGAATGTGTCTAAAACATTATCTCTGACTTGTCCTCACGACCACAGATTTCACTCCTTTAACATAGGTTTTTCACTGAATGGTCAACATTGTGTGTTCTTCCTGAGTAGAACTATGGAAGCAAACCAACTGCTGCATTGACTCCTGTGTACACACTATTAGGCAGGTGGTCATAATGTTATGGCTGAATGGTTATACATTCATTCAGGTTCTTCATCTTTTATACTGTCATGACAACTCAAATTCTCCAGCTGATGCACCTAAACTGTCTGTGGTGCTTCAACTTGAGCTATAGAGTTATTTCAGTTGCTCTTTAAATGGCACAACTGCTTTCATTGTTCACCCTTGAAGTACATTCAGTGCTAAATATAATTGACAGTTCACCTCCTTTCACCTCTTACTCTTTAATCCAAAAATGCATGGATGTTTTTCCCAAACACCTCTACATAACCATGGTCTCTAGTGATCCAGTGCTTATGGAGGGAAAATTTAGCCACCTTATATTGTTTGTAAAACTTTTCAGCATGTCCCGGATCATCAGTTCCAGGTCATCCATCCATCCATTATCTATAGCAGGGCTGATACTTAGAGACAGACAACCACACATGCTCACACTCACTCCTACGGACAATTTAGTCACCAATCAACCTAAGCTGCATGTCTTTGGACTGTGGGAGGAAGCTGGAGTACGCGGAGAGAGCCCACGCAGGCACAGGGAGAACATGCAAACTCCACACAGAAAGGCTCCAGGTCGGCTTGGATTTAAACCCGGAACCTTCTTGCTGTGAGGCGACAGTGCTAATCACTGTTGCAGGTCATTTAAGGGTTAAATGACAGTTCAGCTGCTTTCATTTTTCACACTTCAATGATTACATTCAACTACTTTCAGTGCCTACATATAGGATAACAGTTCAGCTGCTTACAGTCTTAGTGCTTAAACCAAAAAAATAATGAGGGATGCCATTAATACAAATGTAGGATAGTACACAATGCATTGATAATACCAGCTACATGTAGTATCTTTCTTATGTTTCAGTTGGGCATGCCTCATTATGCAGTCTACTATAGTCCCAAGAAAAGCACACCAGGGTAAAGGGCTACTATATTTTTGCATTTTGCCTTGTTTAGCATTTTTCTTTTTCATTGCAAAATTTCCTCTCTTGCAGACCCAAGTCATTTTGCTGACCAAGTATCTGTGGATAGGAAAACACTGCTACGAATCGAGGAACTTTGCCACAGCCATGCAGGTCCTCAGAGGTCTGGAAAATGTGATTGTCAGGCAATTACCAGTATGGCTGCATCTCATAAATTACTCCTCATACGAATTCTTGAGTTTGTGTGTAATAAGTCGAATGCCTTCAAGCTGAATGTTTTCTTCAGCTGTGATGGAACTCGGTTGGTGTTTAATTAGTCTCAAACTAAGAAATTAGCATTGATGTGTGCAGATATGTAGAAAGTATGAGTGCAGTGAGGAGGAATATGGCCTGTGAAAATGAGTAATTAAAAAATCCCAATTAAAAGGCAGCAGTTTTGGTTTCATTTAATTGTGAAATGTCCATTAAATTTCCATATTTTGATCTAAAGGTAGGCTGTATTCATTGATTCTGGTTTTGCATCAAAGCCACAGTACAATAAGTTTTCATTCTTCTTCACCCTCTCTTGCCGACAGGCTTGGAAACATCTGTCTTCCAAGGTGTGTGAGATCCTGGAAGAGCTACGATCTGTACAGGTGTGTGTGTGCGTCTGAGCAGGCACGTACGCATGGTGTTTGTAACTGAAGGGCAGGCTGGTCACATATTGTGAAACTGGGCTGCAGGGCAAACAAATCAATAGAAAAACTTCTTCAAGCACCCCGCCTGTGTGCTGTAAGCTCGCAGCTGGCTCCGCTTCTGAAAGTTACCCTCAAAAGAACCTTATGCCTTAAACTACATGAATCACTCTTTTTCAACTTTCTTGTTTAGCTGTAATAAACGGAGACTGTATGCTCTCTTGGCTTTGACAAGCAGAGAAGTCAAATTTGTTGAAAACCCTCATTGTCTTTCAGTCATATTTTGCCACTGCATTGTACATTATTTTTGCTCCACGAGCACCTTTGGCTTAGTGGGAAATAATTTATTTACTATGTGGATGCATTGTTCTCTCCTCAAGTTTTTCTAAAGAGTGATGGCCTGTGTCTGATGGGGGGAGAACACTCAAGAAGGATGAGGCCCACCCTGCCATCAGTGCACATCCTGGCCATGCATGTACAGCAGTGAGAGACTGGAGCCTTCATGCTCCTTACTGGAGCCTACAAGTGGCCCGAGCTCAGGTGAAGGGAATTATTTTTAGATTCTGCTTTTATCTCAACTTTTGCTCACTATTGTGAGCTATAGTAAACAGAAGTCAACATGAACATAAAATTCTCTGCTTGATTAATAATTTGTCTGCTACGGTTTTACACCAAAAAGTTTTAATAAACTACTTACAAATTCTGCTTTTCTCCATGAAAAATGCAGAATCTATGAAGATGCAAATATTTTTCAGTACAAAGGTTGCTACAAGCAGGATGCCTCTACTTCATTTAACAGCAAAGTTCAGTATATGTGGATGCTTCTTATTCCACACTGTAAAATCTATCCTGGGATGTGCCCAATCTGCTCCCTTTATCATTACAACAGTGATTTCACTGCAGGTTGGAATTTGCACTAATTTTGTTAGAAGTTGAGTGTTGATGAAACATGTATGCAGCCAGTGAAATTAGCCTGATGCCTGACCTTTAGTGCCCCAAAATGTGAACACTTAGTGTCATTAACTGGACATTATCTCTCACCACATCCTGAGTATCCATCTATGACAAAGTTGGCCAATTTGCTATGAGGATGCATTTTCCTGTGTCCTTCTCCTTCACTTCAATATGGCTGACCAGATGGTGAGGTCACAGCAGGTGGCCATTGCATGGCAGTGGCACAGCTGTTGAATCTGGATTGTTGGTAGAGGTGCCAGTGTTGCACCAGATGGTGCCCATGGGATGGCATTTGATTGGAAAAGAGGTTTTGGACCAGACGCTGAGAGGTGCCTGGGTGTAGCCAGATGCTGGGGTCAGGTGATCTAGCAGGGAAATGCAGAGGCAGCTGCTTACTGTGGACCCTGGGTTGTCCCTGCTTTCTCCAAATCAGGTCACAAACAAAGCTGCTAAGAAGAAAGAACCTAGATGTATATACTGTATTTGCATGTTTTCACTGTGCTCTTTTCTTCTGTGTTCCCATTTTTGTGTTGCTCCCTGCATCCATCAATTCATTCATATACTGTATGTTTTTAGAAGCATAGCAAGGGTTGTGAGTCAGGTCCACGCCTTCCAGGAGGCAGGATACCCCTACAGCCCAGACCGAAAGCTGCAGGCTTACCTTTCGGTGCCACATCACCCAGCTCGCCTCCTCTGACATCCACCTCTTAGCTACTGACAATGATGCCAATTTTCAGCAGCCCAGCGAGCAACAAACATGCAGTATCCAGGACACGCTGAAGAGAGTAAAGGCCACCTTCCAGTGAGAGTTGCCCCAAGATGCATCTCAGAGCCCAGAGTGAGACTACATCACCAGGTCAACACCCCATGTCCAAGCCCAGACTTAGGCTCCATGGACCAGCCACAATCCTCAGATGCCTTTGGTACCGGCGGCACAGCAAACACCCGTTAACCTTAGTCCGTCATACCTGTTTAGACTCCTAGGCAAAGTATAATTACAACTCATACCCTTTAGATTACACTTGTTTAGCTGTTGATTACATGTCTTATCCCTTGCAAATCTTTTTAATATCTAATACATTTTAAGGGGCAATGTCATCATATCATTTGCAGTGATTCTTCCTCAACTCATATACTGACATTATTTTAATCATTATTTGTGAGCCGGCCTTGTTATGTAGCTGTTAAGGCATCCTCATATTCATACATGATCTGAAAAAGGCAACCACACTGAATGCGTGTCCAGCTTCAAGGCTAGATTACAGATGTGGCAAAGTAGAAGACTGCACCAGGGCCTGAGATCTCCAGCCCCCCAGAACCCACAGGTTCGCTGTGAGGCAGTGTGATATTATGATAATATGATTTGTCTGGGGGTAGGCACCACTTAAGTAGAATATTAACTGATATGATAAAGCCATTAAGATGGAATCTTTCTGTTTTAACCTTGCTACTAATGGCAATGTTAGTCTGTGGTCCACCACTTTGATCCAGACTGAAATATATAATGGAATTTCATGGTCCTCAGGAGATGAACCCTACTAACTGTGGTGAGGCTGCATTTGCACAGACTTAATTATTTCACCTGATAATGTGCTTAAAAGGTGCGTATTCTTAAATTATATTATTCTTGATTAACTCACAGCACAGCAAACTGGGAAATGTGTTTTTCCAGCAGAGGAAATCAGCACAGTCCAACAGAAAGGGGAGGATCCACGGGTGATTAGAGACCTGACAATCATGTCAAACATATAAATGAAATCTGTTCGATGCTGCTGAATTGTGATGAACTTGCTGGAAACAAGACAGAATAATCAGACTGAATTAAATTTACTGAACATTTTTGCTTAACCCACAACAGGTAGAAATGTTCATTCACCAATTTACCAAGGAGTCTGACCAGTCAGCTTTATATAACTAAATTGGTTAATTAACATCTAATAATTTCATCTAAACAGCTCAAAGTGAAATAATTGCATTTATTTTGTCAGTAGTGTGTCATGAAGGGCAAGTGCTAGATAATATTTTACAGTTACAGAGAACACAATGAATTTTCAATGTGTAAAATGTTAATTGAGAAATGATGTTCAGTCACTGTCTATTTTTCTATTTTCCTGCCTGTGCTCTCTGTTCCATGGTCATCTGCCACGAAACACACCATGAAGATGGAATGTGACGCACTATGAATATTTGCCTAATTTGGTCAAATAAATGAGATTTTGCAAGCCCTTTCGTGCCAAAGCATATTATTGTCACACAGTAGTTGTGATAGAATGGCTGCATGGCAGGTTACAGCCTTTTTACATCTGTCATTGTGGGTTTGTGGTGGGAGAGTTGAAGCTTGGGTTTAGCTCCTCCTCTTTCCACTGTAGTGTAAAGGCTGAACAGTACACAAAGCCTGACCACAAGGACAATAAGTCACTGTATTAGAATATTTGGACACATGCATCAGTATAGCCAGGCAAATTTAACCCTTGAGTTTTGTTGAGGTTAACTTCAAGTGTTTGGGGTCCCACAGATGCAAAATCATATATATATATATATAAAGGTCATTCACAGACAAAGAAATAGAGATATACACTGCCAGTCAAAGGTTTAGACACACCAACTCATTCCAGGGTTTTTCTTGTTGACTATTTTCTACTTTGTAGAACAATACTGAAGACATCAAAACTAATAAGTAACACATATAGAATTATGTAGTAAACAAATAAGTGAAACTCAACCCTGCTCAAAGTAGTCACCTAGAATGGTAACTACTAAAAGAGGTCTTCATATTGGAAGTTATACTGTATCTGTTGCATTAATAAACACTTCAAAATATATCCATATCTTACATCTGTATGTCATAAACTATATTGTACATTTCCATTCTGAGTAAATGTTCAATAGAGGGACTTGAAGGAAAGTGTGTCTCCTTTACTTTGCCTCAAGGTTCTGAATAGTTTTTGCACTGGCCCAGCGTCCCCGTCATAACTGAATGTATTCATTTACTGTGTGAGTTATAAAGCTGATTGTCACTTCCAGGCAACATAGTAACGTTAACTAGTGGATCCAGACTCTGCTGTCTTAGAAAAAATTAGAATACAGTGAGTGCAGCGTTGCCTTTGGCACAGACAGAGCCCATGAAGTCGGCGCAGTGTGAAGGCGCGTTTTATTGTTATCTAACATGGTCATGGCACATCTTTAAAGTGTGATAGATAAAGAGCCCCAAAAAGCTGAAGGGGCTCCTGCCTCCACAGCGACAGATCACCGATAAAGAAGACAACTTGGCCCAAGCTCTTATCTGCATTGTCATATATAACTAAGTGATTCGTTTTGAGGCTTTGTCCTGAAGCTGCTGCATGCAGATTGTATTTATAACCTAATTTACTGAAAATGTGAAGCAGTCGATTTATAGGTTTTTTTCTATGAGCTTGTTTGCGCTGAGAGGGTTTTCTAACCTCCCTTGCAGCTTGTTTTAGCATATTTACATGTGAACAGGCCGACAGTCAGCTGTAATTGTGCTGCTAATGTAAAACCTTTGATCTGTAATGTTTGAAGCGCCTGTGCCAAATGCTGGCTCTCTGGTCGCTGGCGCCAGCGCTCACCGGGGTATCGAAGACGTCATTACGAAACCACTGAGGTATTGTGTTTGTTTGATTGGACAAATAAAACAGTGACGTGAAGTGTTCGCAAGTGAAATTTGTCGACTTTTGTGAGACTACAATGCAGAAACTGCTTTTGTCGCTTTATAAATGGTTTCAACGTTGGGTTTAACGCACACAATCGTTTTCCTTATTAAACCCAATTGTTTCCAACTTGGTCGAGGTTACATGTCAGTTGTAGTCCTGGTGTTTATGCTTCTATCATGACAGACAGTTAATTAAGCCTGAAGCACAAAACTCTAGCTTTTGTCTTCAAATTGGAACACGGTGAATCAGCCATAACCAGAAGTCAAATGTCACAGCTGTGATGAAAAACGAAACTAAAACCGAGCCATAATATCCTGTAGCGCCAAATCCAATTAGATTATCTAGTAGAGGTCATTTACTTATTTAAACCCAACAGTACAAATGCAAATCCTGCATTGCATACATTTTACTTAAAATTACAGAAGATTTGGCAATAAAATATACTTTCAGAATTGAATTTCCTCAGCGTACAGAAATGTCCACGCCAATAGTCATAGTATGTAAGCAGTAATATATTTTAGTTTGTCAAGGCAATGTTCATTTTAACCAGTTTGTGTGGTTTTAATTGTTTAATGTAGAAGATATAAACTGTATTTTATAAACTGATCCTATATTTTCTATCTAAAATCTCAGTTTGAAATGTAGTAACTATAGCTGTGAAATACACTCACCGTCCCCTTTTATGCAATTCAATGCAACACTTCCGCCTTAACATCTCTGTTTATGAAACTCAAACTGTTTCACTCTTTTGTGAAAATGTCATAAAATTCGATTATATGTGTTAGGTATTTTTAGTCAGATAGAAATTGGATAGATACTTTATGTATTAGAAATGTTTAGT